CAAGAGCAAGAGCCACCATATGAACCGACGCATGAATATTCACCACAATCTGATCACATGACCACACCATTGTTGTGCTAGTAGTAGTTCTCTTTAATTCGTTTGTTACCTTATTTTTAATTTCCAAAATGCATAAACATCTCCAAAAACATCTCCAAGTGTGTATATAATACAATACATGTATATTTAGTTTGATATTATTCGAAGTGTTTACTTTTGTCGATAGAAGTATAATCCAAATCTAGATATAAATTTCACAATGAAATTTAAGAATGACATGGGGTTCAAGACACAAAGCTTGCTTTCTAATCATTGCGGGACAACAACATATATATGCAAACTCAAGTTCATAATTTTGTGATAATTCATACCATTAATGACAAAACCAAACGTGTCAATACGCTCATGACAAAATGTAAATCTGTAATATATTTTATGGGAAAAATTGCATAAAAAACTTCTAAAGTGAGAATCACTAACACTTTAAACTTCCAGAGTTTATCACTTACACAATAAACCTTCAAAGTAACAAATTTAGCTAAATAAACCTTCAAATTGAGTTTTTTATGCACACTGTCAATTTAGGTAACAGAATAGTTAACTCTGTTAACGGAGCCATCGTTTTCTGTAAAAAAGTGATGTGGCATTAAATTTGTTTTGTACTAAGAAATAATTATTTTAGTTACTCATTATTTATTACATTTTTAAATTTATAAAAAAACCCCAAGAAAAAAAAGAAAAACAATTAATTAAAGAAATCATAAAACAATCATCTTCGATCTTCATCGTCTTCCTCTTCAATTTTTTCCACTCCAGCTTTTGATTCCTCGTCATATCATAATCCCAAACATCCTTTTTTAATTTATTTGATCTTAAGATTTCTCCACTCCAGCTTCTAATTCCTCGCCAAATCAACAAATACATGGCGGAGGAGGAGATTCGGAAACTGACTGAGGACGCGGTGGTTGAAGAATCGGAGGCGGAGGTGGATTCGTTCTCTCCGGTGCCGGATCTACTATGTCCTCCGTTGAATCACTTAACGCGTTTGATAAGAAACACCGTTTCGACACTGGTTTTAGTACTCGAGGAACCTTAGATCTGGCAGTTGAGAGAGTTGACTCAAAGAGTTCTTCCGAGTCACTCTAGATCTAGAAATCGAGAGCGTGTGATCCTCACTCTCCCTCAACACTAGTCGCCGGAGCTCCGCCGTGTCTTTCTCTCTCCTCTCCTCTGTTCCTCGATCTGTTGCCGTAATTTCTCTATCTACTCCGCTAATCTCGCTGTCTCTTTCCTCGAATCCTCAAATCCTTTGCAGCGATATGAGATTCAAGTATCTGTATAAATAAAATTGATTCTTTGAAAAGCTTGAGGTCGAGAACCTCCGTCTCCGTCTTCAACAACGAAGAGAGAAAATGACTGATTTTTTTTCTTTAAATACTCGATCTTTTACAATTTTTATGT